CCCGGAGAGATCTAGTGTGGTGAGTGTCTGTGTGAAAAAGTGCAGATTGATATATGAGAGAGATGAAGAGAGAATGAGGGCCACCGTGTTCTGTCGTAATGAAATGTAGGTTTTTTTAATTCTGTGTTTATATATTCTATATACGTATATGTGTATGGCATGTAGCGCCCTCTATATAAATATTTATACGAATGCTAATTCAATTTTCTAACAGAACGGATAAATAAACGGTAGAAAGGAGTCATTGTTCGGAAAGGTATGTAAGAATGTAGTCGCCTCTATGTGGAGCGCGTGAGTACCCTGATGCTATTGTGGTTCGATAGATATGGCACCTAAAAATATTTGATTGTTCACGTGTTCAATGACCAAATAATTGTAGTTTAAATTTTCTTATGCTTTATTTAATGTTGTTTGTAATGGTAAAAGATATGCTAATGTTATGTAAAATATTTGCATATGTATCAATAATATTTCATAGTTATTGAGAATAAGTTATGAATAAACTTTTGGTGAAACTTGATTATAGAAAGTATTAAAATATTATTACATTGATAATGGTGCATAAATCTGCTTCGCGATAAAATCTGTTTTTTAGGAAGTTATCAATTCAGTTCATGCTAGTTTTTTTTAATATGAATTTTTAGAGTTTTTAGTAGTCATTGTCATTATATGCAATTGCATTATTTTCTTTTGTAATAGTAAAGCTCTGTATAGATGAATATGTGAAAATGAATTACTCAAAAAAGTTCCGATTACATTAAGATTCCGTTTAGTTATCAGGTATTTTATGTGCACAACTTTGTGTTGGGGGGGTTATTTATAAAGCAAATTCAATATGAAAATTTTTTTTAGAAAAGGCTCATTGGTGCAAATATACGATGTATTTTTATTGAATAACAGTTGAATAAATAAATGGATGCGTAGTGTAGTAATGTCATATCAACACATTATATCCTGATATAAGCTATGAATATAATCGAGAAAGATGAATTAACTTGGTTTTTCACTTAAATTGATGATCACAATGATAACATATCAATGGTTTTTACTTGGTGAAAATACTTGTTATTCCATAAACGGATGGTCTTTTGGACAAGTCTATGTATGGTTAATAAATCGAAATATGCTGTTTTGTAGAGGTAGCTTAGAATTATTATCTAAGTAAAAGATAGTTTGAAATGAATAAATGTCATATAATATTTTGATCATTTTACTAATCTTAAGTAAATATTTTCATCTTATACTTTGTTGAGAAAACTTAAAAATACCAAAGTTTCTAATAATAGCTGTATTCGTTTTGCTCACAGAGATTTCAATTGAATAATATTAACCATATTAACTTATTATGATTACATTTATATTACACTTCGCAGTGTTAAACGCTTTCGCATTGTCAGTCTTATTTTATAAAATTTTCCTTCATTATAAAATTCAAAAGTAATAATCGGATGCACTATAATAAATGGTCTCATGTTTATGTTTGGTCTTTGAGAAATTTAAAATTTATATTACATTTTTTGATTTCTATGCTACTATAAAAAGTTTAATCCTCTATGAAGGTATCAATCTTGTTTTTCGAATAGATTGTTTTTTTAAGAGTAAAGTTAACTAGATTAACATCTAGCTTTATTGTATTCGTGTGGAAATAAAATAACACAAACAAATGATAGAACATTTTTAGAAACAAATCTGCTGAAATTTATAAGATTTTCGCAGTATAACTTTAAGAATGTTTTAAAAAATATTTACGAGAAAAAATTTGGAATTGAAAAATGTTGAAACATTGAAAACAAGCTGACTACAAACCGTGCGAGAATCCATATTTTATAAGACAGTTATGGGTTCGGAAGTTTTTTCTCCTGAACAAACCATTATGTCTACATGAAAAAGCTTTTCAAAAAAGAAAATTCACCAGTTTTCTATAGAATTAAGTTCTCTATCCACTGATATCACAACTAACATTTGAACAAATGCTAATTTTTTTCAAACCTAGAAACTAAAAATACAACATGTATTTTGCGACACCCTTAAATGTAAAAAAGAATTTCTTGAGATATTAATAAATCTCCTAAAGTTTTCATGAATAGTCGTTCCCGCATCCACATAGATTCTGCACCTCTACCAAGAAGTCAGTAAATTGTTGATGAAATTGTTAATAACTTCCAATAAAAAACCAGCAAATACATCAAAGTTTTGATTGCAAATTCCAAGTTGTATCTAATTTTTACAGACAATATACCCTGTGCTTTTTATTCTACACGTAGTCAAAAAAAGAAATAATGTGATAATATATAATGCTCATTTGTGTATGAATGATTCGACATCAAATGTATGTGAATGTTATGAGTGCAAATCTTAATTTAAATCGTATATTTACGTATAATATTCACATCGAAATTTGTTTTATAAAAAATCCTCTGAAAGTAATATTTGATTACTATTTTATATATTTCAACTCATAGTTATGTTAGCATTACTCCTCTTAATACCATTTTTAATAGTTGGATTCTAGATAGTTCTTCAAATATATCAAAATTCAAAAACTTTCTTCCTTGTGTTGAAGATAATAAAGATCTAATTTATAAATGAATAGAATCAGTCAGGATGAATACAAAGAAAATTTTCATAGTTAATTTCACGAAGTTCGAGCACGGCTTTTGCTTTTTCGACTTGCTATTTCTATGAGTGTTGTTCTTTAGTAGATACTTGGACCTTAAACTAATTAGAAAATAAGAAGCTTGATAGAAGTTACTGATGGGATATCTGATTAACTAGAGGCCAAACTAGTTAAAGCAAAACGTCAATAAATACCTTAGAATTAGCTTGTGTGAGGGGGATGTGGAGTATGGATACATTTTACGACATGAACATCACCCACACTCGCATCCGCACTTGGATAACAGTAAAAGAATATTTTCTTTTATCTATATTCATCAAAAGTGAAAAAATTCAAATTTATAGTGATCAATCTATATCTTTTATTAAGAAGGCATGTCATATTGAACAATGTTTAGTGTTCGAATCACTAAAACAATATAATCTACTAGGTCACAAAGATTTTCACATTATAAAGATACGAATCGGACTCATCGATCGTGTCTCATACAAAAACGTCAAACATGTCGAGGTTCAAAATTATATTCAGGTCGAACTTGACGTGTATGTAAAGATTCGCATGTGCTCTAGGGGTGGCACATTACTATTACATTTTATTACTATTACTCGGTAATTGGTAGTAATCGTTATTATTTTTATTACTTATTTCTTTTTATCGCAGTTTCCTAAGTTTTGATTACTTTAATAGTCCTATAGCTTCTATTCTTTTTTTATACAACGGCATATGAACTACTGCCTGTCCAAAAATAAAATGGACTCGGGTATTTTTGCAATAGCTCAAGAACGGAAAGAGTTAGAGAGCTGGGGTTTTCACTATTTTGTAGGTAAATGAGTACTCTCTATATATATATTAAGACCTGCTGGAAATCCATGTAGATTCAATGTTTTATCATTACGAATCTTTCAAAGAGAATGATATAATTTTTACAAGTTCCATAAGAATCTATATATCTAAACTATACAAGAGATAGCCCAGAGGCTCCTCTACAAAATGGCGAAAGGCTCAGCTCTCTAGCTTTTGCGGTTCTTAAATGGCACTCATTTTTCTAAAATCTATTTTATGGATTTATTCCGTACCAGTAATCATAAAGATTCATAGGAACATACGAAATAAACAAGATCTCCCAACAAAATAGCATATAGATGATAAACAATAACTTCATATAGGTGCAATAGAATACGCTATTCACAAGGGAAGTTCAGTCAAAGTAAGTAACTGAAAATTTCGAAAAAGAGATACTATAATCTCTTGCACTACTATAGTATAAACTGCTGACTGTCGAAAAACTTATATTTAACCTTTTTATAAGTTCTACATCTGAAACTCAACTGTTCGCATATTTTATCTGAAATTATGAAAATCATTCATAAGCTTCG